AAACTTACTGTGTGTTCCCTGTAGCAAAATGAGAGCGCGTTGTCCCAGTGACTTTTATAATAACAGCAAAGCCGTTTAACACACTCAGAGAGCGAGAGATTACGACTGCGGTGGCGTCTTGATGAACCATAGCCGTGGAATTTTTTTCTTTTTCTCAACACATGGGTAGTACATAAGAAACTGGTAACGGTAGACGTATATTTTATGCACTGTCTTTCAATAGATAGAAAATTAACATAGTTCAGAAGTAGGTAAATGCAAACAGAATGAAGAAATACATTCCACCAAAGCACACACATGGTGTTCTTAAAGTTGCGACTTTTCTTAACACATCATACAGTTCTTGCAAGAATAATCAGAATTTACTAGTAGCACAACATACAAGTTTGAAAATAACTCAATTATTAGTCTCCATGCTTGACTGGTCACCAAATGAAGCTACATGTGATGTTGTTATAAAATTTATGTTGAAAATTCTATATGGCAACAGGCAACCTGACAGTGGTAAGTGAGATCATACAAAAGGGCTGTTGGGGTTGTCAGATCTATATTGCTGCTTTATTACCGACACTTGTACAAAGTGAACACTTTTCAGGCCGCAGGTTGGTGTACAGATCATATAATGCAGTATTTACTCGTACTGACGGTTTGGCCACCTGAATATATTGAAAAACAGAAATTAAGGAAAAGGTCACCGAGGTGGCTATATTAACAAGGAAATTAATAAATAGATAGCGTTTCTTGACCAACGGTTAACAAAACCATTTTCATCGTAACCACAAAAGTTAAATCAAACTAACAAAAAAAAGAAAACAAAAGCTGGTGATTTCATCTAAAGAATATAACATAAATGCTCTTGAAATTGTCAGCATGTATATCACAATAAATACATATGGCTATAAAAACTTCACGCATTGCATAAATGTTTGCTTTCATAAATAAATTTGTGTTAGTTCTGTCACAATAAAAGGTTTTTACGGTACCCTTCCGAATAGATGGGGTATTAAAGTTCAGTTGAGCCACAGTCTCATTAGCATCAGTTTAATTGTGCAGCAGTTTATGGACGAAAATAACTGACGCACACTACTTTCTCAGCTCTAAAAACAGCATTTTAAACCTAGACAATAACAAACTTTCACATATAACATGCTTGGGATATGCACCGTCATCATTTGAAGATGAAAATTAGAAAACTTTTTCTGAATACCCTCAAGAGAAACAATATAGCAGTTTCAAATTAAGTTCTAAATTAACAATGTACCATATGTTCCGATTACGATCTAATACGTGTCGAATACAAGACCAACAGTGACTCTGGGCGACTGAAGCTTCTGCAGTTTCTCACCATAAAACCGTACACCACTTTTGACCTACAGTGAGTGAAAAATCAAGTTTATTGTTCGACATCCAAATCCTTAATTGAGTCACAACTATTTATGTAAAATATCCCCTTATACTTATATAATTATATAATATTATATAATACTTAACTTATAATTAAGTTTAAAAACAGGTGTTTACCTGGAAAACCTGACTACACTACACATTGGAAAATAAATTGCTCTCTCAAGATACCAAAGCATCAACATCCTGCAATGCAATCGGCCTCATAATCAATAATCCTGAATAACTTTGAATCATCTGCAAATAGTCTAACTAAAATATTGCGCAGTATCATCAGTAAATAAGGTAAGCAATAATGAACCAAGGTTTGAACCTTGAGGCACTCCCGATTCAGTTACATACTGGTACGACTTGAAGCCGTTGAATATAAGATATTGCTTTCTTTCGTAGAGGTAACTTTGAATAAGTGCTAAAGCTGATGAATTGGCTACTGTTTATCTCTTAGTAAGAAAGTCACACTGAAAATTGGCAGAGATGTATGAACTGCGGAATAAATTCTATGATTATGAACTTGCTCGTTTACTGTGAGTTGTCCTCAAGATGCTGCTGATGCTCCGCGAGTGTATTCAGATCGCTTTCTTATCGCTTGCTTTTCTCATACAAGGGTCGTTTGGGGGATGTGGTAGCCGGATGTGTTAGAGAACCGCGGTCTTGAAAGTTACATTTTAAACCATGGATACTGTCTTTGTCTTTACACGTGCGCACCAGATGGAGCTGGCTTATTCAATAATCAGTGGAAGACTAGAAAAATATTTACAGTAGTAAAATGTCGGTACAATGGTTTCGGCAAAAAGTGTCGAAGGTGCTGAAGTCGCCAGAATTTACCTTCCCTCCACTACTACTACATTCCTTGTACTACGAATATTGCTAATTATGGAAGAAGCTAACAAACTTGTGAAAATCATTTGCTGACTGTTCTTGTACGGTTCATTGACATCACTTCTTTGCTTTTTTCCACAGTGCCATCTTCATGTTAGAAACCGTATGTTCCTCATTATACTACTGACCCACATAAGGTGATCGAAAATCGCTGTCGAAAATACGGCATATAGTATCCATGGTAACACTAGATTCACAAACATGTTTTGGGGTTACCATATTACCGCATATTACTGGTATTGCTGACCTGTTCACAAATTTGAAAACCATTAATTGTGGATGGATTGGTGTTATATTAAATGAAACATTCATGAGTTAATCAAATCGCAGCAGAGGCGTATCCAGAACAAGAGATAACTGTATATTATCCAATATAGTATTTCGAGATAAAAATTTGTTCCATGCATAACAAGCAACCAAATCACCTGACGGGTTTCAAGAAAAAGAACAAAATTTATTTAGTTAGAACTAGGATTATCCTAATATACACAACCAATAAAAATTCACAGCATAAAAATAGTAAATATGTAGCAAACGCATCAGATACCCTAATATTAGTACATTTTGAACGAAATGTATATCAATACGCAAAACACACACTTTACAAAAACATAGTCAAGTATTAATAAGTTTAAGTAGCTCTTTTTTGATCCTATGAGGAGTTGAACATTTTTTGGCAATCTGCTCAGTGCATTTAAACCTTTGTAATAAAGTGAAATCATAGAGCTCATTCCAGCAGATTTAAAAATGTACATGTTCATGTTTTGTTTGGTTGGATAAAGGTGAACATCACAAGCAAAGCTGTTCTGATCAGTCAAGTACCCAGGAGCCATTCCTCGAACTAGTATCTTGGAGATAAAAATCATTGTGTCCATATTGGGTTTACATGTGTCAAACTATTACACTTAAACATAACTCTCGTTGCACGATCTTATAGCCTTTACAGCTTGAGTTCTATTGAATAAGTAATTAGATTTTGGACAATAATCAAAATGTGGCTGAAGTTAGCTTTGATTGAAGTGAAAGGGAGCTGCTTATTCTTGAAAAATAGTATTGCTTCTTTAGTATCTGTGATGTAAGTATAATCCTACAGCCACGTTAACAACTAAAGCACTTTATTGGCAGCTACGCCACGGGAAAACTGTGTTCTGGACATCAGCACATATCTTGGACTGTTAAAAAAGGTCGTTTCTGAAGTTTGCGCGCATGGTACGAAATAAATAAAAGCTCCCCTATCTTGAAAGATTGATGCGTGAAGAGACGTTCAGGGTGAACCTTGTTCAAATAAGTAACAGTTGTCCCTCTCAGTGTTACTGCAATCCGTCCGTGTGGCGTTCCGCCTTTCCTCTGTATCCCCCTATAGCCCCGCGGTACCTCATGGGTGTTTTGGCATTGGGCCTTCGTGGTGGTTGGAGTATAAAAAAAGCAAGTATCTCCATATTGTGGATATTTGCTTTTAGCGAGAATTTGCTCGAATAGCAACAACTACTCACAAAAACCGAGTAACACACAGAATTGCTCATTAGGTGTACCGATGATAAATATTTTCTTCCATTTCTTGGATTTATTGAATTTATGTTTATAGCGCTCTTCAGTAGCATATTCATATTCAGATGGCAACACGGATAGTATTTCTGCCTTCCACTCTAGAGAAAAACATATACGTCGATGTATTGGTTGGTCACTTTAGTAGGCATTGGTACAAAGCACTATAGCAGTGTCGTGTAAGTATATAGGCTTGTCTCTGTCTAGCCATTTCGAATTCGTTGATGGTAGCCATAACGTCATCAGTGTTCCTGCCTGCGATTTCAATTACCGACAAATAAAGAGTTATATACATCTAAAATCCTTATGTATACCAACCTTACAGTGTTCTAATTTGTAGTACCTACACTTATTGACTATATAATTTTTGTTGGCAGTGACTGAGTATACATCGCCCTTCGACGTCTATGTCCTGCCGCAAGCTACAAAAATATGTTTTCTACCCTATTGTACCCGCTCTAGTTGACAGCGGTTGCTGTTGAGTTGTAATTGCGGTGGAGCGCGTTGTCTAAGGACTTTCTCAGAAGTGATAAGCGCCATGAAAATATGAGTCAAGGTTGGAGCTATTCCCTTCCTCAGCATATACGAGAATAGTTTCGTCACGATTTGCACAGCAATGCTATTCTGTCTAGGTAATGGGGACGGTTTTGTACAAGACGCTATAAAAGTTTCACTCAACGGTTAAAGAACATGCACATTATAGTAATATCTTACTGCCGCACACTGTTCCCAAATCAAGAATGACGCCAAGTAGATGGAATCTACTCCAGTACAATTTTCCATGCTTCCTCAGATTGCCTCATAGCCTAGTTTTTGTTGGACTTGATAGGTACAAATATACTATAGATACTATACTAAATAACTGAAGATCGGATTCATATGTATTTACATGTTTTTACATATAACATAATATTTTAGGGTTTTTTCGGATAAAAACATATAACATAATCTTTTAGGTTTTTTCTACATATAATCCATATACAAAGACATACGCTTTAAAAAACTTAAAATGGCATTTTGTTTTTTATTTATTCAGACTAAACACATTTATTATTGTTATGAAAATCTGACCTCGGTGCACAAATTATAAAGACTACAAAGCATATCGGTGATTCCCCCAAAGCATATCGGTGATTCCCCGATTAATAACTTGGCAACGTGCCGTGCACCTGTCGCAATCCTTATTTAGAAAACTTGAGTGGTAAATAAACACGTATTATTCTTCGATGCCGTTTAACATTTAAAAAGATCGCCATGCCGAAAGTATCAAGCTCTAAAGCTGATTTACTTAAGAAATGGATAAAGAATGCTAAACATTTATCCACTGATGGAACAGTTGTATACTGTAACGCCAGTTCAAAGCAAGTGAGTATAAGTCACAAAAAAACGTTTCCGAGATTTAAGGCTTTAAAGTTTAGATGCGGCTGATAAATGATAAAACTGCAGTAAGAAATCAAAATACCCTTAAAAGTAGAATCAATTCAAGTATCTTATCATAAAATACATGAACATTTTGTGTTCACGTGTTTTTTTTTTCATATGTTTAAGCTTTAGCCCACTCTGCCTTAAAATGGTTCTTACCTTTGGTTTCATACTTGTATAACGATTATAGTAAAGTAAAGTATTAAAGTAGAGTTACACAACATTATGTGAATTGATAATTTTATTACAAAACGACAGAAATCAATCTCCATACAGTAAAAAAATAATGTATATTTTCTACACAAAAACTGTACTGTACTGACACGACCTTATAGAATTTCTGGAAATTCTCGAGTCTGTTCGCCTTCCCTTTCTTCTTCAGTAACAAGCAGTTGTCCGGTATCTGGAAAAGTTGCATCTGTCTTCAGATTCTTGAAAAAACTGTGATGAACTGGTGGTATGAATTGGAGAAGCTCTTCCATGTGTTTCTTCTTTTTGTCGTTGACAGGAAGAGGGGATTCATACAAAGGAGGTAGGTTTATATTTTTGAAGTTTTTGGGTGCGCCTTTTCGATTCGGTAGTAAATTTATAAAATCATATGGAAATTCTTCATTCAAAGTTTCTTTATAAAAAATTTTGTAAGGTTCTTTTTTCTCAGAATGTAGCCACTGGATCTGGAGCCATGATATAGTGGCATTAGTACCATTTTTCTTTCGTCTTGTTACAGCTTTCTCTGTTGTTGATGAGAAAAAATCAGACTGTTCCATCTCACAGACGTAAAAGGGTTTCCTGGGTCTGCATGTTCTTATTGTTGTATACCAGTTTTCTGGCACGTACTTGATGCTATTTTTTGCCCGCTTGACACTACTATTGAAAATCAGAGTGGGTTAAGTCACACTTGTTCCATTCTGCCTCATAACGGTTACAGTTTTCCATTGACATATAAAAACAGACTGGTGCCATCTGTGTGCAAAACGAAAAGATACATTTTTCAAAACTCTCCCAGACAAAGATTCATCCATCCAGAACAGTATACACATAGAACTTTGATATCTGAAAATTTGGACTTGGACCATCCTGGCTTTCAACGGCTCATATGTATTAAAATAATAATTAATTAATCTTTCGTTATCTACGGAGCTTTTTTTTATACTCCAACTACCATGGGGTACAGTGGGGCTATAGGGGGATACAGGGGAAAGGTGGAACGCCACACCGACTCTGGCGAGGGAACACGTATGCATGCAACATGCACACATTCTGGCTCCGCCTACGAGATGGTGGTACCTCCACGTTCGACAGTCAGAGACCGTCTACCACCTACGGACAATAACAACATCCATAAAAAAAATGTCTCCTGTGACGGGACTCGAACTCGCACAGCGCACGGCGACTGATCAGGAGACCGAAGAGTCTACTACTGCGGCCACCGCTGCTGCCTATTATTGTAAATATTCATTATTTCAAGGTTTCTTTGAAGTTTTTTTTAAGACCTCGTTTGATTTTAGGTGTCCTCAAACCAGAAATTTCAGATCGATCAACACCTTGCTACAGCCATTCACAAGGAAATGAAGAAACGATTTAACGGGAAAGTGCAACAAACGTTTGTTTCAACTGAATTATGTGGCAGCTTCCAGCAAAATCAGAATTCCAAAAATGAATTTTTTTTTTGATTTATGCAACTCCATGGCACAATCAAACATACCATGGAATAAATTAGAACAAACGGCGTTCCGTAAATTTTTAGAAAAGTATTGTAACCGCCATATCCCAAATGAATCCACATTGCGCAAAACCTATTTGAACAAATGTTACCAGGTACTTTTAGAAAATATTAGGGAAAAGTTTTGCAACACAAATATTTATATTCAAGTTGACGAAACAACAAATGCATGTGGTCGTTATGTTGCCAATATACTTGTTGGTACTTTAAACGAGTCTACCCCTCGAGTGTCTTATTTAATTAATTCTGCAGCCTTAGAAAAAACCAATTACTCGACCGTTGCACGTTTTATTAATGATACTATATGCACCAAATCCAGTTAAATCAGAAAACGTAAAATTGATGCTTTCTGATTCGGCCGCTTATATGATCAAGGCTGGAAAAGCTTTAACGGTATTTTACCTTGAAATTTGCGTCGATCACATCATGTGATGTGGAGCGTTCATTTTCGGCTTTTTAAAATTTATTAACAGACACGCCATAACTTAAGCATGGATAGTATTAATCAGTTATTAGTTTTATACTGCAACCCTATCGTTTAACTTTTTGTGTGTGTCAGTTTGGATTAGTACTGTACTGTTCATTACAGACAAACCTATTTTGTTTTGTTGACTTTTAGTTTAATATTATTTGATATGATATTATATTTTTTATTATATTAAACATAATATATAAGCGTTTATTTTTTTTGTGTTCGCAGATTTATGTTTCAGTTTTTCCACATATAAAATCCATATTTCGTCAATTTTGTACAGCATAAAAAAACATATTTTGCAGTTTTATACCACATAAAAATCCGGATTAAAATAACATTACCTCACGTCAATCATGTTACCTCAGTAAATTACACTGCAAGCATAATGCTCGTAGGCATATACTGAGTGATAAAAAAGGTATGTTTATTAGAATTCAAGTTTTTTTTACATATCGATTTATCTTGCCATGAACAACAAGTGATGAAATGGTCAGGTTTTTCTGTTAAGCTTTTGTGGTGGCTGCGTATATTGTTTGGTGATAAAGAAGCATCCAGCTTTCGTACATGTACGGTGTCAGTTAAATGTTAAATTTCGTGTATCTTATTGAGAAGCCTGTCCCAGCTAAGTGACTTTGAGAGAGGTCGAATTGTCGGGTTGCATGAAGCCAGTCTATCGATAAGAGAAGTTTCTAGGAGGACCAACAGATCCTTATGCAGTATACTGCAGTGTGAACTAGCGTGGACGCAGGAAGGCCGAAGACAGCGAGCGAGGGGTTCTAGACGTCCACAGACCGACAAGACCGCAGGTCTAGACTTTTGGCTCTGAGAGACAGCCCGACGCTATATTCAGGAAGCAGTGGAGCCTCATATTATTCAGCAAGATAATGCCAGACCGCATGTTGACAGAGCATCGTTAGCCTGCATGGGTCAACATCGCATTAACCGTTTACCTTGGCCACCACGATCGCCTAACCAATTGGACATGTCTGGGATATGGTAGGTCGCAGGCTGTAGAATTTGCAACACCCTCCACAGACCTTAGCAGCTCTTACTCACAAAGTTAGCAGCCTGAAATGAGACACACCAACAGGATATCGGCCACCTCATCACCACAATGCACAGGCGTGTCAATGAGTGTATAAGTCATCGTGGATCCTCAACACATTATTGAACCAGTTTCTGCAGTCAGTTGATGAATCAAGCTGAAAAATTTAATCATTTACCAGTAAGAAACACTGAACAAATATGCCAAAAATTATTAAAATCGGATAAAGATACTCAGTATATAGTATAATACTTCGAAGTTGAGTCATTTATTTTAACAGTGCGTAGATCTGATCAAAAGAAATGTTTTTTTCCTTTAACATTTTTCTGGTAAAATTAAAGTAACAAAGTTATAGCGCTTTAGAAGTTTGAGTACCGCCCTGTCTCAATAATAATATTATGTGTTTGGCAACAACGGATATCGGTTCATCGCATCGGAAACAAAAAAGCGAAAGAATTTGAAACGTTTATCACGTTGTTTTTCGTCAATCGGTAACGCGTGGGTGAATAGTGATGTTTGTTGCGTGACTCAAACGAAATGAAAAATGGCACATGTTTACGAAAATGCTGAACTTGTGGACATGATTCTTATTTACGGGGGGCAGTCTTTACAAAATGCTGCCGGATGCATCACGGATTTATGCGAATCGGTTTCCCAATCGAGTGCAACCAACCCCTCGTGCCTTTGTTAATGTAGTACAAAGGGCTCGTGAATCAGGTGACTTAAGACCTCACAGGTGACAGCATGCCGGTGCTCCAAGACCGCACGATCAAATACAGGTCCGCACTGAAATACTTGTCGGGAGGATACTTTATTAAACAAGGTAACATTTTTTTTTTATTTTTTTTTATTTTTACACACATATTTTGGTTTATCTTCCTTCTACAATCATTATCTGAAAATTAATGACTCAACTTCAAAGTCAACTAATATCCCGGCCACCTCATAAGCTCTTTTTAGAAGTCCTTCGGATTCACTACGAAAGGTCTTTGAAATTCTGTGGCGCACAGCAGGTGTGACTGAAAGGTACCCGATCAGTCTGCCAAAAATTGCGATACATCCTTCCTCACCCACCTAAAGCCCCTAAAACCCCAACTCCAAACATGTACCCCCTAAAAAAATCTTCAAAAATGATCAGGATCCTCTGAAATATCTGAAAAAGTTTGAGCTATTCCTGCTTGTTTTTTTTTTCGTTTTTGACATTTTCGTCCGCCGCCACTGGACCAATTTTCAAAAACTACAAAGCTTTTTCGTCATTGGCACAGTAGTAACCTTGTGTAGAAGATTCACCCAAATGCTAGCAGAACTTTTCAAGTTATAGACGGGGCAAGGATTTGCGGATAGACTGACAGTCACACAGACAGACCTACAGACACGGAAATAAGTGACAAGTTTTTTCATAATGTACGTGTTATATGAGGCCCAAAAACATAATTTCTTATTTTCAAAATGATTACAATACTTCCTCGCCACTGGGAGTGGGAAGTAAAACACCACACAATATAACGTTACCTAGATTTCATCCATGTTGTCGCTCACAGAGAATCTGTTCATTGCATTTTGCGTAACATACTGGGACAGAATAAATTTATTTCGCGATGGATATGTTTCTTTCAAGATAGCGATATACCTCGGAGTGGTGACGTGAACCTTACACTTGGGATACCATGAGGCAAACGCAATGATGACCACGATGGCCATGTGACATTACCACATCGAAAATAATAGAGATATTTACTTTAAAAACGCAAGAGGAGCAACGCACTTCACCAAGTGATACACAACTATTCTATATAGCAGCTTAGACAACATTCTGCGTATACTGTGTGGAAGTATGCAAAATATCTGTCGATAGGTTGCCAAGCCGATCTTTTTCCAAATTTGAGTTCTTCGAAAGACTGTACCCAGTTGTTGGCTTCTTGTTTATCTCTCCTCAGGATTACTAGACCTATACTGTACTGCTTAGATGCTAATGAGCACGAAATAAAGCTGTCTGCGGTTGGTCGTGGTTACAGAGACGCAAGGCAAACATTTTAATATTCCACGTATAGTTCACGGACATAGTATAAGTAAAGTAGAGCGGGTTGCCGCTATGGACGAACTTAATGTGTTGTGTATGCTCTGATTCTTTTAAGGTCACTAATATCACCAGAATTGACAACCGTCGATGTTTTCCTGAGAGGGTGATCGATGGGTGAAATTTACGTCATGTATGTGGCGAAATAAGCGAATTTGCAACCTACTATGTGTGTAACACAAACATAGGACGAACAGATTTGATGAGCGCGTGCATAGTAATAACACAAAATCTAGATGACGTTATTTTAAAAATAAGGTCGGTACATCTGGAGCTTCATTTTCCTACAATAGGTCGCATTTCTGGAATCTTTGGGAGTACTCACTAAATATTCTGTGGGGCACCTTATAGAATATATTCCACACTGATACAAGCTGCTCAAGAAGCTGCTGTTAGCTAAATGCTGCGGGTGGGGTGATACTTGTTGTCACTCATCGCCGCGCAGTTTCAACTGCGGTATGTAGTGGATGAAAATGATACGTCTAACCATTCGTGGTAAGAACTTGTTACGAGGGGTGCCTTTTAAGTATTGCAGATGGAAATAAAACAACACGGTAGGTAGTTTTAAATGACTTTATTGTTTTTCGAAGTACTCTCCACGAAGATCAATACACATCTGCATGCACTCGAACCTATTTTCGAAGCACTTATTCCACTCGTTTGCTGGCAGATCCAAAACGGCATTTTTGAATGCGTCAACTGCTTCTTCTGGTGACTGGAACCTTTGATCACCCAGTCTGTTTTTAATTTCCGGGAAAGTAAAGAAATCGTTAGGACTTAGATCGGGACTATATGGAGAATGGTCCAATAATTCCACGTTTTCTTCCGTTAAATACTGCCTTGTTTTTTGGGCTGTGTGCGAGTTTGCATTGTCTTGGTGGAGGATCATTCTTCTTTCGGGGTTGATTTTTCGAAGCTCGGTGATGACTTTTGGCAAACAAATGGTGGTATACCAATCCGCAGTAACAGTTCTTTGCTCATTAAGAGGAATTGTTGCAATATGACCCGCTTTTGACACAAATGTCTCGACCATCTTTTTTGAAGCACGGATGACTTCTGTTGGCTTTTCTTCACCTTGGAACATCCAAACAGCCGACTATCGTTTATTTTCTGGTTCATAACAGTAAATCCACGATTCATCACCACTAACAATGCTGTACACATTTTTTGAGTTTCCGGAATTGAGACGGTCAAGCGTTTTTTGACACCAATTAACCCTGGCTGCTTTCTGCTCTTCAGTCAACAGGTCGGGTATCCAACTAGAAATTAATTTTCTTACTCCTAATTCTTCATGTGAAATTTTTTGAATTGCGCTCTTTGAGATCTTCAAGGACGCCTCTATCTCATGATATGTCACATGTCTATCTTTAATGATGAGTTTGCGCACAGCATCGACGTTTTCCTGGGTGACTGCCGTTTTTGGTGCACCCACCCTCTAATCGTCGCTAAGACTCACCCGTCCACGTTTGATTTCCCCATTCCAACGGAAAATTGTCGACTGATGTGGAGCTTCGTTGCCGAAAACACACAGTAACTCAGCAAGACATTCTTGTTGCCATCTGAAAGTTGTAATAAATTATGGCGCGAAAATGTTCTTGGTTGAGTTCCATTTTTCTAATGACTTGGTGACACTTAAAAATTCACTGTAGTGAGAACACACTGCACGTAGTGTTGTGAAACTTTGAATTTAAGTTTACTAACGAGTGAGGTTAAGATTCAGTACTGACGTTCGATCCACGCGGCGTACTATGTTTCTATATGCAAAACTTAAAAGACAGCCCTCGTACGGGTTTATGGTAATTCAGACTTATCCAAGTTTATTGGCTGAGAAATTGTACACTGTGAACGGTTATCAAAGCTAGGTTCATATTCTTTAGTGCAAGGTGCCACCGTATTCCGTGGGATCAGCACTGAACTTAATGTCTGCTGACACTCTGCAAAGATTGTAAATATTAGACAAAAGTTTTCTTTTAATCTCCCCTGGTGTGGTAGAGGCCTCACCGTCTGAGAAATGTTTTTTCTTTTCGCTCGTCCTTAACTTCAATTTTATTCCATTCCATTTTGACTTTGTCTGTTCGGTAATGCAAAAGTCTATTACTGCCCCGTCTAACTTGAAGATTGGGTTCCGTGGCCGTAAGTGAAGAAACGTTTCATCTGTAACTTGGTAGAGCATCACGCGGTTTTGCCAGAAGAAGTCTAATCGACCTGACTTCGATGAATCTTGTTATGCTAATGTCTCTCCAAGAGATTAAGCGTGGATATTTCTCTCAACTTTTTGGCGTAGCCTAGCAGTACAATCTTCTTTTAGACCACACACCAACAGGGCTAAGCCTTCGGCTAACATTATCATGAGACCGGCTGCCATAATTCAATTTGTTTCAGGCCTTTTTACGAGTACTTCTCTTAATTTAGCCTACGTTCGTATCCACTGCACACATTATTGTTAAGAAAATCCTTTACGACTTCTCCCTTGGACCACGTTATTTTCATCATCCTACCTCAAAAGTTAATTTCATGAACTCCCGAGGAGGGGATGACATAAGGACGAGGTGTTCAGTCACCATGTGCTAATAACCTTAATCTTGTTGAACCCCGAGCGGCTCACTTCACTTTCTTCAAAAACGTTGCTTATTATCGCCCAGGTGTGATTCTAGGTGTGCATACCCCCGGTACCTCTTGGTAAGTCACTCTACTACTTCTTTATTAATTAATACGTGATGATGCATTGGTTGTTTTACACTTTGAAAATTTCTTGAGTCTATTGTTATAGCTTTCTAGCTACCTACAAGGGGACTTTGTACTTACACCCTTTGGGTTTTCATCTTTAATCACTAAATTCATTTTGGGCGGTCTGAGGAATTGGTGATCTTATTCACCTCCTTCCTGCGAAAAATTCTTCCATCAAACGACATAATTCACGACCTTGTGAGAGAGAATTTATGTTATGTGGCAGACCCCCTTCTAAATTGTAAAACCACCTCCCATTCAAAAAATCGTAACAAGCTAATGACTGCGGCTGGCTCTTATATCTAGTTCTTTGACCCGTCGTTAGATATTCGTCGAAAATGTTCATGATCAATTTGCATGAACCTGGCTGTGCTTCGTTTAGGCAACTTTGGACTAAAGGTTATCTAGAGGGGGGCAGTTCTGATCACTGAAACGAGAAGAGTCGTTACCACCGAGAGGCCAGACAACTGGGCTGTGAAAAGCCTGTGACGTCACGCAGTGTAGGCCTATGCATGTTCTTATGGAGTTTCGCGATGCTTTCTGGCAAGAGAGCAGCGCCACCATTTCTCTGCGGTGTTGTCATATCTAGATTTGATATAGCAGTATCGAAATCTCTACTAATCAGTTGTACCTCTCTGTGGGCGAATTTGCAAGATATACTCGGAGCCTGCGCAGCTTCAGTGATGATGTGATTATTCTTTCTGATCTGCCTGAGTATGTCAAGAATACATTTTCGATATTACGTTCAATCTGTCACTTGTGAAGTCTAATATTCCATTCAAAATTGGAATATGTGGCAACCTTGGTAACACCGCTAACATCCAACAGCCAACTAACCTCAAATTCCGAGCCTCTCTTATGTGCTGTGTAAAATGTAAATTATTGATGTTTTATGATTTATTTGTGTCTCGCGATTGTTTAGCTAAGTTTTCAAAATGCCTTACAAGTGCGGCGTTCCTAATTGTGCCGGTAATTACGGGAAGGGTCCGAAGGTACACGTATTTTCGTTTCCATTGAATGAAAACTGTCGTAAAAGATGGCTCAATGCAATCCCTCGTAGTGATTTAGTGGTCACAAAAACACCACAGTATGCAATTTGCACTTCGCTGAGGACAGCATGATTTGGGAATCCACATTCTATGACGAAAAGACAGGTAGGACCATTACTGTACCCCTTGAGTATCCAAAATAGAAGGCAGATGTAATTCCAAGTATCTTTGCAAATTGTCCAAAATATCTTTCAAAGGACATAGCAAGCAGAAAAAGCCAAGATGACAAATTGAGGGACAAGAAACAACTACTCAAAGCAGTGCAAAGTAGCATTAATGATTATTCCTCCTATGCAAAATCAACAAGTTTTTAAAATTATTCAGACTTTCTCACAGTTTTTCAGTTCATGGCAATGTCCATTAATTTGTCCATATGGGTGGCATAAAATTGTTCAGGATAAAGTTACTTTGTTTAAGTTAGATTATAAACCAGCACCCATCATAACTCACTTTGTAATTGTTGATAAAGATCTCAATGTAAAAACGTGTATGTACTCCCAAGAATTGTTCTCAACTCAGGTAATATTAAAACTCCATTTTTATTCTCTAATATACACAACTTGCGTGATGTTCTGAATGTTCTTTCTGAGAATGCAGATGTTTCGAGGGAATATTCAGGTAAATACCAGTTCAGAGCCACTATCAACCATGCTCACAATATTTTAAATAGCACAGAGCTATTCACCGATGAAGAGACCCACACTGTCATTCAATTTATTTGTGAGCAACTAAAGCTTGTTATTAGTCAGAAGAACAGACACAGTTACTCATCAGAAACAATAGTGTTTTGCTCTATGTTGTATACAATCAGTCCACATTCATATAGATTTATTAGGAGCCATGGAGCACTTATTTTACCACACAAAAATACTCTGAAGTCAATTTGTAATACATAAACATTTGTAATACAGTTCCAGATGTGAGATATAACTTTTTCGGTTATGCAAAGAACACAACTGTTCAACAAGCACTACATTTTTTATATAATTTTCAAGTACCATTATATTATGCCTATAATAATAGTAAAATGTCCACATATTCCTGTGAAATTTTGTTGATCGGTTGTGACTAACATGGGCTTATTCATTGAAGAATTTATCATTTTTAGCAAGCTTTTATAACATCAACTTATTACTCTAATGTGCACGTAATGTTGGATGAAATATCGGTGAAAATCAGGGTGAAAATAGTTAATAACTACTTTAATATTTTCCACCAAGTTGCCGTCATTTACTAAAAACACTTTTTTGAATTATTCGTTATTTACATCAGGTAGAGTATATTAGTATAGTAGTATAATAATATATTATTCACTAACGTTGATGTACGGCACGCCGTGCTGTTGGCCGGCCGACCGACCTACTCGTGGTGACGTCACGCGTCTGTTGTCAGGCCTTGTACTATCGGTGGTAACGGAAGAGTACACGGCCAAAAAGCGTTGAGGCAGATGAATTATCACGGGCTGTCGCATCATAAGGGACTTACACGTGATACGCACCAGTATTATCCAATTTGGACAAAAACAAGATTACAGGCAAACCTAGGGAACAATTTTAACTGCCAAAACGATATAGTACATTCGCAAGAAATATCTCATCGAGCAGCGCCCGCATTGATTCGCATGTGATACCATATTTGTATATCACCGAATGTGTTTCACACATTTTACTGTTGAATTTAGGCAGAAAGTAGCTCACAGATGCTCACGGACTGAAGAAGGGCATCTAATGCTGCATCAGTGAAACTTAACCATATTTATGCAAAACAGTCATAGAAAATTTCGATAGAAAAAATACGAAAGCAATATTTGCTTGATTTGATGTTTCATAAATATGTAATCATATATACCATATACTTTATGATTCAATAAGAAGATACTTTAAATAAAAAGAGAAGTGTTTTATTTTTAATTTAAATCTGCATTAACTTTGGGGCACCCTATATACTTTCCAACCTGTGACGGGTACAAGTTGATTTGCTGAAGCCACTGCTAGTGGCATAATGTACCGCAATTCTTTACTGTGTAGCTCGTTACAAAACGGACTGTACTAAAATGTGACGTACTCGTATATGATTGCAGAAACTAAATAGCTTGATATGGATCTGGTCATTGCCCGGATTAAAACAGTCAGTTGTTCTACTTGCTGCATATATCGGACTTCAATATATCGCTATCGGTGCTATTTTAACAGCTTACTTGATACGAACAATTAATTTTAGTTTAGCAGATATAAATTAATAATCATATGTTTCGATTTGCTATATTGATTATGATTTGCCAGAAGAGTAAATATTGTGACTGCCGATATTGTTCTAACGGATTACGCGGCGGTGACAGGGATTTTGGACAAGTGTTGTATATTACGTTTGCGCTACAGCCGGTTAGTTTGATTTTGAGTGGGGTACTCATACAGTACAGTGAAACAATGAACACGATACGGAAGATGAAGCGAAAAGCTGGCACTTTCTTCTTGCAAATGCAAATTAGTGGGAAATAGCAGCTAGGTTACATCCCTCATACAGTGCCTAAGCCAGGGTCCAACGATTGGTTTAACATATCGTTAAGAGAAGATCAAGGCACACAGAACCTTCTTACAAAACCCCACTGTATAGAATAGACAAGCCGACGTCAATCCCAGAAACAAGTAAAGCGTTCAGGAAAACCACCTAAATATGCTCGCCAACCCAACTAACAATTATCACTCCTATTAGAGTTGCAAGAATGATTATACAGTATTCCTTACACAGCATTGTATAGTGTAAGAACATTGGCAAAACCCTCTTAGAACAGCTATACAAGCGGAATGGGCACACCTAATAGGACACTTCAGTCATTTAAGATGTTGTTTAAGGGCTGCAGGTAACAGTTATACAACAAAAGTGTAAGCCTCTTGCAGCCGCTATAGGACATTTGCGTCAGTGCAAGATTCAGTTTTTGTCAACTGTACAACTATTCTGTTACGTGATTCTACTTTATTGCAACCAAACTATTTCTTATGTATTATATAGACGAAGTAAAGAATATATAACTAACACAATACAGTCATCTTGTTTACTTACATACCGGCCATTGTGAATTTCATACACAGGTATATGATAAACTTCTACACTATGATATAGGGCTACTGAATTACTTGCGCAGCAAATTTTATTGTGATTATCGTGCAAAGTAGTTACGAAATTTCTACGGGCTTCGTATTTGATTCATATTTTGATAATGATCAAAAGTATGTCTAGATTTTTAAGATGGAAAACTGAACTTATCTGCGCTAAATCTTCCACAAATCCTATATTTAGACACAATTACACTAATGTTTATCACTTTATATCTGTAATTTCGAACTGAAACATAATTATTTAATATCAAATAGAGGAATAAATGTTTGCCCAATATGGCGGGTGGTTGTGTATAATCATGGCATCGTCCATGTTGTCTTTAGTTTATTAGAATATTTTGGTGTTGCCTGCAGGTGTTATACAACAATTTGACAAATGTCAGAAATGAAATACCGACGAATGATTTACCTAGAATGTGTACCAGATCTATATCTTCTGTTTGAACAGTTGATAAAACCTTTTTAAACAATATTCATGCGTTATTTGTCTTAAAACATTGGTTATGGCATTTTGTCTAAAATATGACAGCAGAAAGTTAGGTTATGGTGAAGTTGTATACCAACATATTTAGCATATGTACAGCCTTTAACAGTTACTAAACAACAGTTGTATAAGTGCTTCCGTTGGGAGCAATTTGTCGGCTAAAGTAGTAAATTTGCACAGCAAAACAACAAGGCTCGGGTTTGTTTTATAAACGTTACCATGGATGCCACAACATAACCATTTTGACTAACCTGCAAATATGCCGTGTAAAATAGTTGTATAAACGTTTATGCAGCAGTAAAAAATTTGTCCTATAAGGTTTTGTGTAACTATGCTATAAGAATATTTTAAACACCTCATTTTAGAGCAAATATGTTGCAGAAAGCAAATTTGCATTCCTCACAATATTAAGCCAGCATTTTGGTGTTCAGGCAACAACAATAGAGAGCTTTTATGGCTGAACGGTTCTTTTACCAAAAGCTTATAGCACTACTTTCCAAGTTGGGAAGCGTCACCAACATCTTGAAGGCACTCACGACTCGCTAGTTAACGTCATACCATTCGTTACTGTTATAGAAATATGATGCCCTGTTTTGTTTTTCAACCCGATTATGAACGAATACTTCGATTACCTACACCGCACGTCGCACCTGGGTTGGATTCTGACGCACGTAATATTCTGTTAACTAATACTTAGCTGGTGGCTAGAGGCTCGGCAACCACTGTCACTTCAAATAGCTTGACCTTTTGTTACTTTATTTTCCAGATTCTCTATTCCTATATAACGGTTGATTTAGGGTGACTACGCATTCGGTCAGATATTCGTGTTTCTATTTCTTAACGCGATTGCGTCAAAATTGCCATCATGGAGCGATATTGGATGAGAGGCTTAAGACGGCGACAATTCTGTTGAGTCTCAGAGTGTAATTCCTGAAACTGATATGGTTTTTATGTTCTCTCTCCATTGACTGGCCGAATCAAATTTATGCTTGGCCTTATACAAGTACAATGGAAAATGCCACCCAAATAACAGTTTATGTTTCATAAATGAAATAGCAACGTGTACACAACTATTTTTATAAGATAGCAATGCCGCTATAATCGATGTGACATCGCTTCTCAACCCAAAAAGGGCGCACTCTGGTGCAACAATTTTGTTCTTCGAATTATTTTATGATGGGTCCAACACCTTTACCAGATAATTGTCTAAACATTTCAAAATTAATATAAAGACATATTATGCAACAGTTATAAAACGGTTTCATTGAAAACAGCTATAGAGCAAAATAATAAATATTCTATTATTATGACAACTATATACTACTAACTAGACTAAAGGATGCAGCTTTTTTGTTTCGACTAACACTAAAAGTTTGTTCTTGTTGTTGAAGTGCACGCACTGAGAATAACTTATTTCTTTATTATCCTTGGGTGAATTTCACCAACATTATCAGTTATTTCTATTGAAATGTTGAATAAAGTCGTGAAAAGACGGTTGCCTTATAAATAAGGGTACATCATAGATGTAATATTATGTCTTTGTGTTTTAGAATTAGGATAACTTTCATTGAATTTCAAATTTTCTGAAAAAACGGTCAGTTATTTATGTGGGACCAACGGGGATGCGGCAAATAATAGGTCGAATATATAGCTATAATATTTGGTAGGATGTTTTCACTGTTTTTGACGACTGTTCATGCATGGCCATCTAGTTTTGTCTGTATATCACGTACAGGGTGTTGTACATAATACGTAAGTGTAGAAATGTACCGATTCTTATTTTGCAAAAAAAAGGTATAAAACGTATTCCAACTGGTTGATCATCTTTTGTTACATCAAAACCAATTTTACAATTTATGATCTAGAATCAGAATCAATAATACCTATTTATTTAAATATATCTCCAAACATTGTTATATTTTCTTATTATTTCTATTATTATAACACGTCTGGGATATCAATTGATTTTAAAGTGATCTACAGTGTTGCCAAACCGGAAAAAAACGGAATCGGTAAATAGTGTCGTTGAGTTCGGTATAAGGTAAATGCCGTCCCAAGACCAGTCGTAGATAAAGGACCTTTGAATCATGAAAAACGTCTTTTATTGTATTGGGCGCGCACACAACGTGTTTTTTGAGGGTATATAGTTCTATATTACAACTTCTACAATGTGCATACTAGTCGCTCTTTTAAAGTGCTTTGAAAACCATTCTGGAAACTCTTTTTTCGATTCTTGCTTATGGGCTGGGAATATTTTTCTGTTTTACCGCTGAACTCACAAGCAAAAGTATCGATACATCTAAATATATATATTTTCATTTGCATTTTTTCAAGTGTAACGATTTTGGGAAAAATTCCACGAATAGTCTTATGAAGCTTAGTAGAGCATATTTCAACAGTTGGCGGAGCGTACTCCACTCGGACCAGGGGGGTGAAACGGGATATTAATGCACAATCTGGCAACCATGTCGCACCCTCAAAACATGGCCGCTGACAACCACACAAGTCACCGTGTTGTCACTGCATAACATGGAATTAAACCTTCTTCAGTGTGTATGTTTTGTGACTGGGACCAATGGTTGACGGATCCCACACATGGGTAACTCGTTGGGGAGTTTTCAAATAATCAGCTGTTACTCAAATAATGTCTAATTATATAACCTAGAATGTGTACTCGTGAAAAAAGAAAAATATTGCAAATTTCTAGTTTTTTTGCAGGTTTTAGGTTTGCTGATAGCTCTACGGCATATATTTGGGTATTTCTTAATCGCTGTAAATATAGTGTGGATTTGTTTAGTTCCTGAACAACGAAAAATATTCAACTTTATGGATGTATGGATATCAAAAAATCTGAATGGTTTTGTGGGAATATCAATCTAAGGTGCCATAATGGTTCTGATGAACGGCAGGTAAATGAATGAATGTTTGGAAACGAGCAATGTCTATTAAATTTTTGGTAGAGTCTGTCATCAAGTAGGTGTTTGATGGCTAGCTGCAAGAGATTTATAGGAAAAGAACACACGGTAGGTGATGTTGTGGAAATAATATAAACATGAATGAACAATCGACAATATTAAATAAAAACATGAATCTTATTCAAAAATCGAATACTTTTTCAAATTTTGACCAAATTATATGTAATTTCTTAATATTCAGTAAGCTGGTGATGTTTTAATCACAAGCTGTCATCGCATACTTTGACAGTATTTTGTTTTCAACATTTTATAGCTATTGGTTGCTAAAATTTGTTGATTGGAACTTGAAGCTCATTCGCTGCATTTGACGGACTGTTAGCCTCTAGGTGGAGAATAACGGACTGTTAATTTGACAACCTTGGTGAAATCCACCCTTAGTATAACAAAATGACAAGTATCGGATCTTCTTAGCAACAAAAATATGTTTGAGCAACTTTATCAACCATGTTGCATTTACTTCTGATATAATACACCAAATACCAGACAGACAAAATTTTATTGGCAGTCCGATGGCTTTACTGCGTAAGAATTTTCTTTTATATCATGTATGGGATATATGAAGCAAAATTCCCAAGCGCCTGAATACAAAACAGTTGTACGATAAATTTTAATACTGTGTTATAAACGTTTACTCAACAATTTTATACGAAATTTAAGCTTACTGAATAAATTTTTTTCACAATAGGTTTATACCAGTATTATCTAATACAAGCTTATTCGTTCGCGAATGGCAATAAAATTGTGTTACTGGAGCTATTCGAAAAATTCATATGATTAATTTATTAAATATCTTCCTTCTGATATTATCGCTCGCCAAAGCATATTGCACTCTGATGGTACCTTAAAAAATTGAGTAATTATAAATAACACTGTCATAATACAGGCAACATACAAAAAGTATAAAACAAAATAAAAACTTTTGTAGGGGTACAAATGCATTTATTAATATATTCATGAAACGCATAATGCATTCACTTTTCCGGATAACTCCGGAACCTCTCTAAACTATTTATTTTATTTTTTTAAACAGGGTATGGTTTAGCATTGGAATCGACATTCTTGCCTTAGTTTAACTTACCTCAGCGGTTACTAGAAAATATCCTCCCTAGTTCAATCAGTTTAATCAAGGCAAACTTGTGGATTCCAATTCCATTCCCCGTTGTAAAATTGAACAAACTCAAAGCCGTTCTGGAATTACCCGGAAAAACGAATGCCTTATTCATTTTATGAATCTATTAATAAACACTTTTGTATCCTTAGAAACATTTTTTGTTTCATAATTTTTATATGTAGCTCTTATTACGACGGTGTTAATGGCAACTATATAATATTTTTTAAGGTACCATCTGAGTGCAATGCTTTAGCAAGTGATAATATCAGAAAGAAAATGTAAATAAATTCATTTTGCAACACTCGTATCAGTTAATACAAGTATAAATTCACTATGAAAGCAATTTGTTCAGTAGGCTTAAATGTCGTATAAAATTTTTGTGTAAACGTTAATAAAACAATATTAAAATTTGTCGTAAGACTGTTTTGTATTTTTGCTCTAAGAAAGTTCCTACGACTACCATATAAAGCGAAGTAGTTCTTAAAGGCTCAATTGTTTTACTGGCACTTTTATTAAAACAAAATCGCGTTCTAAGAGCAGTAATGGACCAACTATAAAAATAGAATACCGCGTACAGTTGAGCATTATAAAATATCTTGGCTAGTGGGGCACCGTATTGGCCGAAAAGTCATACAATAAACATAAATTAAAGCATATCGTACTATGTGAGCAATACTATAGTATGACAAAAATAGTAGATTTTGAGATAATCAATGTTTTATTTTGCCTATTTTGAATTTGTTTTGTATCGGTGCTGTTTAAAATAATAATGTATGATAAACTCAGATAATTCACTTACATAGACTTGATTCAGCAAATGTTTTTGAGTTTCAATAAATAATAACTGATAATGAGATATGTATTTGAAGTTAAGATAGTCTTGCAGCGGAGTGGCTGGAGGTAATGATACAAAATTTGCCGTATATGATGCTGCTTACTCAATGAAAATAAGATGCAAAGTTTTTAAAAAAAGCGATTTATTAAATACAATGCACTAGCACATAACGTTGCAATAAACAATACAATACATACAGGCACATGTGCTGATGATTACTCGGTTTCCGACGAGTCTTTACCTTCAGTGTTTGAAATTGGGAGTGCGCCATAAATTTCATGATACTCTTTTTTGATCAACTGCTTCTTGCAAATGTATAGCAAGCCATCTTTTTTCTTTTTATTTATGCTGAGAGGTCCATTTGTAGGCATTTTTAAGAACTATGTTTCTCTCTGACAACTTCCTCCTTTTGGACTGGTTAATCGAAATTTCCTCAAATGTTTTTGCTTCACAGCTTGTTTTATATATATATACGAATTTTTTCTAACCTGAAGTATTTTAATGTTATTCCATGTACTTTTTTCGTTTTTGGTGTTATTGGAAAATTTTTTTCCTACTTGACTGGTTAACGTTTTCATTTCCTGAATGTCACTTTGTTGAACTTCGTTAACAGCATAAAGTGTGCCACTTTTCTTTTTGCAAGGGCGATAATGGGTATCCACTGTGCAGGTATATAGATGCTGTTACCTTTTAGCATTCTGTTCTTCTCTCTTTCAATGGCAGAATGCATACTGTCACCCTTATTTTGTGTGTGACCGGCAATAAAAAACTTGTGGATAATGGTATTTATGTTTTCCATGGTATTAACTACATAGAGGTATGTTGTCGCTATGAATTTATTTTTATTTTGACCACAGCAGTTATCAGAATGAAATATAACATCCTCGCTTTCCAATTGTTTCATTCCATACATAACAATAACCGATTCTTTGGAATATCAAAAATCGTAAAATTTAGCTTACTTTTGTAATAAAAATCACTGACCAAAGAGCACGGAGTAGGTAAAACTGCGTCCATATTATACACCGCGACTATCAGATTTGGATTTTCTTTAGCTAGAACGGTATCTCTTTTCTTCTCTTCTCGTACAGCCGTTTTATTACGGAGATGTTTTTCATAATTTTCTTAAATACCTTCCTTTTTTCAGCTATCTAAGAATTCTTATATGTTTCACATACACTGCATTGGTCTTTTTTTGGGGGTATGAAAACCTATATTATATTCAAAGTTAAATATTTTGACATAAGTGCCTTTTCTTTGTCTGGGCCCTTAAGTAATGCAATTCCACTGTTGGTATGGATTCAATGTGATTTCGGATCATTTGTTTCATATCATTGGAAATTTTTGTACTCTTGCTATGAGTCCCTCTTCATTCAGGTTCCAGGATACCTTCCCCTGACAGCTTTTTCTGAGTAGCTCGTGACATCATGTCGCTTATCCCTAATGTATCTTGTAAGAACTTTTTGCAAACTCTTATTATTATACCTTCTACTTCAAAACAGTATTTGCAATTTTTTCCTCAAGTTGCCTTGGCATACCTGTATTTTGGCTCAATTAGTTTCATGTGCCTTAACAAAAATTGTCTCTGCCGATCTATATCACCAAGATAGCAGTAGTTTTTGGAAAAAGGAATGTCATTTTACATTGTGTTATTTGAGTGGCTTCATTACAACCTAACTTCATTTTTCTCTCATCTACTAGCTTTCCAGAGGATGAAACATGTGACTGGCCTTGATCGCTTTGCTCTGTTTTATATTTCGTTTCCACGTTTCCGGTTTTCT